TGTGGTCCCAGCTACTTGGGAGGCTGAGGCAGGAGACTCACTTGAGCCCAAGAGTTAGAGGCTGCTGTGAGCTGAGATGCCATAGCATTCAACCCAGGGGGACAGCTTGAGGCTCTGTCTTCAAAAAAAAAAAAAAAAAAAGACAAGCAAGCAAAGTGGATGTGTGGATGTTCCAATGACTTTATTACCTTCCTCTTTCTTATACCTGGAGACCTGGAACGGAAACTAGGAAAGCTGTGATCTCAGTATGGGTCATTAAAGGGGTACAGGGGGTGCCCTGCATCCCTTGGGACTCTCTTCCCATCCACCTAGAAAGAGAAACAGATAGATAGATAGATGACTCCATTAGCAGTAGATGCCATTCCAAACACTCAAGGCATCTTCCCCAAATATTCCTGAACAAATTCATCTATGTACAGTGTACTATACCACATGGCAGTAGCTGGGACTCCCCCACCCCAAACCCACTTCAGAGAATGCCACAGTATCACCAAGCCCAGAGCATAATGCAGAGTTGCTCCTTCCCCAAGAGATTGTAGGCTCAAATGAGATCAAGTGGCTAGGAACTATTTATTTTTTTGAGAAAGAGCTTCACTTTTTTTTTTCCTGCAGTTTTTGGCCGGGGCTGGGTTTGAAATCACCACCTCCGGCATATGGGGCCAGCGCCCTATCCCTTTGAGCCACAGGCACTGCCCCCTATTTATTTCCCTATGTGCAGAAGACTTCATCCCCAACCCAACCATTCTGACAGGGTCAACAATGCTTTTTAGGCTCCCCTGATATCATTTACTGAGAATCTACTACAAATCAGGAGCTTAATTCATTTTGTGGATAGAAAGCTAAGGCTTGGGGAAATTAAATAACTTATTCTTCTAGATTATAAGATACTGAGAAACAGGTGGACTCACAGGTTATATACCCTATCTGAACCACACCACTTCCCTGAGCTCAATAAACTGATAAGAGAGCAGTATATCCAGGATAGCAATTGCCAATGTCACCCAGTCCCAACTGATAAGAGAGCAGTATATCCAGGATAGCAATTGCCAATGTCACCCTGTCCCTCCCATGACCAGCAAGCCTGAGGTTAGACTTGGTTGGATCCCCCAAAATCCTGCCCCAAATCTCACATGACATTTCTTTTTTTTTTTTTTTTTGTGAGACAGAGTCTCACTATGTTGCCCTCGGTAGAGGGCTGTGGCATCACGTCACAGCACCCTCAAACTCTTGGGCTTAAGCAACTCTCCTGCCTTGGGCTCCCAAGTAGCTGGGACTATAGGCACCTGCCACAATGCCTGGCTATATTTTGGCTGTAGTTGTCATTTTTTCTTTTTCCTTTTAGAAATAGAGTCTCGCTCTGTTGCCCTGGGTAGAGTGCCATGAGGTCACAGCTCACAGCAACCTCAAGCTCTTGGGCTTAGGTGAGTCTCTTGCCTCAGCCTCCTGAGTAGCTGGGACTACAGGGGCCTGCCATGACGCCCGGCTATTTTTTTTGTTGCAGTTTGGCTGGGGCCGAGTTCAAACCCACAACCCTCTATATATGGGGCCAGCGCCCTACTCATTGAGCCACAGGTGCCACCTGTGTGTAGTTGTCATTGTGTTCAGCAGGCCCAGGCTGGATTCGAACCCGAAAGCTCCAGTGTACGTGGTTGGTGCCCTGGCTGCTTGAGCTATAGGTGCCGAGCCACATGACATTTCTTGTCTCTGGGGAGTGATGCACTCTCACCGTAAGCATGGGCACAATATATCGCCAATTTTTGTTCAGGGCATCCAGTTGCTTCATTTCTTCTGGGCTGAAGGTGAAGTCAAACACCTGGGGACAGAGTGGGGTTCAGGAAAACTAGCTTTGTGAGAGAAGCTCGGGTCCCACAACACTGCCTTTTCAGCTGGGCAGAGTTGGAGCCAGAAAATATCTAAGTGAGCTAAAGAAGATAGAACCTATTATCACATACCTGGATATTCTGAAGGATACGAGAAGGAGTGACACTTTTGGGGATGCAGATCACTTTCCGCTGGACTTGCCACCTGAATAGGGCGGATTAAGATAGATAAGGAATAGGTGGTGGGGGCAGCGCCTATGACTCAGTGGGTAGGGCTTGGCCCCATATACCGAGGGTGGTGGGTTCAAACCCTGCCTGGCCTAACTGCAACAAATTAAAAAAGGAAAGAGTGGCTCCTGTGGTTCAGTGGATAAGGCACCTGCCCCATATAATGAGGGTGGGGGATTCAACCCAGCCAGAGCCAAACTTCAACAACAAAAAAAACTAGCCAGGCATTGTGGTGGGCGCCTGCAGTCCCAGCTAATCAGGAGGCTGATGCAAAAGTATCACCTAAGCCCAGGAGTTGGAAGTTGCTATGAGCTGTGATGCCACAGCACTGTACTTAGGGTGATAAAATGAAACTCTGTCTCTAATAAAAAAAAAAAAAGAAAGTAGGTAAGGAAAGAGTCAGCATTCATGACCTTAACTTCTTGAAACACCTGAACCCCACTGGACTGGGGAAAATGCCAACTGACCTTTCCTCATATTACACAGCAAGTTCCTCAGCCTTACCCACATGCTCAAATAGCTCAAATAAGGAATCCCTCACTCCTGCCTCCCAACCCAGGAGCCCTTCCTTTTTTTTTTTTTTAATTTTTTTGGTGAGACATAGTCTCACTATGTCGCCCTTGCTAGAGTAGCTTGGTTTCACAGCTCACAGCAACCTCAAATTCTTGGGCTTAAGTGATTCTCTTGCCTCAGCCTCCTGAGTAGCTAGGACTACAGGCACCCGCCACAAAGCCTAGCTATTTTTTGGTTACACTTCTTGTTGTTTTAGCTGGCCAGGCCGGATTTGAAGCCGACAGTTACGGGTAGGGAGTCTCCTTACTATTATTGTTTTTTGTGTTTTTTTTATTGAGACAGATCTCATTATGTTGCCCGTGGTACAGTGCCATGTAGTCACGACTCACAGCAACCTCAAACTCTTGGGCTTAAGTGATTCTCTTACATGAGCCACCTAAGTAGCTGGGACTACAGGTGCCTGCCACAATGCCCAGCTATTTTCGGGTTGTAGTTGTCAGAGTTGTTTGGCAGGTTCAGGCTGTATTCGAACCTGCTACCTCTAGTGTATATGGCTGGCACCCTGGCCGCTGAGCTATGGGTGCTGAGACCCAGAATCTCACTTTGTTGCCCTCGGTAGAGGTATTACTATGTGGCATTATACCTCATAGTAACCTCAAACTCTTGGGCTCAAGCCATTCTCTTGCCTCAGCCTCCAGAGTAGCTGGGACTACAAGCACCAACCATAATGCCTGGCTTATTTTAGATAGGGGGGTCTTGCCCTGGCTCAGGCTGGACTTGAACCTGTGAGCTCAGGCAATCTACCCACCTTGGCCTCCCAGAATGCTAGGATTTCAGGTGTTTGCCACCAAGCGCGGCCCAAGAGCCCTTTCCTTAAGGCTGCCCCACACCTGAGCAAGATCTGAGCTGGAGATCGGCCATGCTTTTCAGCCAGAGCCAGGACCACTGGTTCCTCAA